GCCAGATCCTGAAGTTGAAACTGAAATACTTTGGCCACCTAATGAGAAGGAAGGACTCACTGGAGAAGGACCTAATGCTGGGAAAGATTGAGGGCAGTAGAAGAAGGGGACAACAGAGAATGAGATCACTGGATGGAGTCACTGAAGCAATAGGTGTGAACTTAAATGGACTCCAGAAGATGGTAGAGGACAGGAAGACCTGGAGGAACATTGTCCATGGGGTCGCGATGGGTCGGACACGACTTCGCAATTAACAACAACCTTATCACAAAGATAATTAGGGCAAACTTTGAACAATCCATTTTTTCCCTGGTCTCTGATAGCCAGTCTAGAGAAAAGGAGGGAGGGTGTGACATGACAGCAGTATTCCAATATTTGAGGGGCTGCCACAAATAAGAGGGGATCAAGCTACTTTCCAAACCACCAGAAGGCAAGACAAGAAACAACAGGTGGAAACTAATCAAGGAGAGAAGCAACCTGGAACTAAGGGCAAACTTCCCAAGAGTGAGGACAGTGGTATAGAGTCTCCTGCTTGAGCAGGGGGTTGGGCTAGAAGACCTCCAAGGACCCTTTCAGCTCTATTCTGCTTGAAAGCTTCATCTCCCTATTTCTCCTGAGAGCGGATTGGACCTCAGCAATCTGTGATCCTAGACAACCTTCAACAACGGAAAATTAAAAATTAAAAAACTGGTGGCTGCTGAAATATAGAAAGCTATAGAAGCCAAACAAGCTTGTTGGGGAAAAAAAAAGAGGGATTCTGTGTGAATAACTACATGTGCAAAGATGGTACTTTTAAGAAAGCCATGGTTAATAAGAAGAAAGAGATAAGAGTTCTGCTCAAAGAATGTGGATATATTCAAACATATAGATACCAAGCTAATGTAACTTAGGGATAATACTCTGTTGACCAAACAAAATATGATGTATTGACCTGGTGGTCAAGTGTTTTTATCTGTGTGCCTTTTTTTTTTGTAAATGATGATGACAACCACAACTTTTATCTTAGTACAGGTAGTCCTTGACTTACAACTGTTCGTTTACAACCATTCAAAGTTACAACGGCACTGAATTCTTAACTGAAAAAAGTGATTTATGACCGTTTCTCACAATTATGACCTTTGCAGCATCTCTATGATCACGTGATCAAAATTCAGATGCTTGGCAACAGATTCATATTTATGACCAAAGCAAAGTCAATGGGGAAACCAGATTCACTTAACAACCAGGTTACTAACTTATCAATTGCAGTGATTCACTTAACAACCATGGCAAGAAAGGTTGTAAAATGGAGCAAAACTCACTTAACAAATGTCTCACTTAACAACTAAATTTTGGGCTCAATGGTGGTTGTAAGTCGAGGACAACCTGCGATGGCATTTGGGGCAAAGGTTTGGGAAGAAAGAACTGGTCTTCATTTGAATTGTTTGGATTAATTCATGAGAGCCGTGGTGATGCGTTGGTCAGAATGCAGTATTGCAGGCTAATTCACTGCTTACTGCCAGGAGTTCGATCCTGACTAGCTTAAGGTTGATTCAACCTTCCATCTTTCCGAGGTCAGTAAAATGAGGACCAAGATTGTTGGGGGCAAGATGCTGACTCTGTAAACTGTTTAGAGAGGGCTGCAAAAGCACAGTGGAGCAGTATACAAGTCTAGGTACTACTCCTTTCTTTCTTTCTTTCTTTCTTTCTTTCTTTCTTTCTTTCTTTCTTTCTTTCTTCATTCCTCCCTCCCTCCCTCCCTCCCTCCCTCCCTCCCTCCCTCCCTCCCTCCCTCCCTCCCTTCCTTCCTTCCTTCCTTCCCTTCCTTCCTTCCTTCCTTCCTTCCCAGTGGTTACAATGTGACAATATAGGCTGACTCTGCCCACAGTCAGAAGTTCGATCCTGATCCACTCAAGGTTGACTCAGCCTTCCATCCTTCCAAGTTTGGTAAAATGAGTACCCAGATTATTGGGGGCAATGTGCTGACTCTGTAAACTGCTTAGAGAGGGCTGAAAAGCGCTGTGAAGCGGGAGATAAGTCTGAGTACTATTGCTATTAATTATATTTAAATCAAGCTGGTCCAGGGAGAATTGGGTCTTCTTCAAGAAAAAGCAGAAAACATTAAAAAGCAGACTTTCTCCATGATAAACTCGAACTAGCATGATCATGATATGTCAAACCTAGCTCATATTTTGTTTTTAATTTTGCCACGATGGGTAGAGATATACATGACAGGATCATTAAAAAAAATAAAGCTATCCACTTATCTTTGCCCCACTGTCAATGATGGAGGGAAAATATTTCACGAATGAGCTGCATAATGGGTGGAGAATGGAAATAAATATTTTGCAGTTGATTCTTTCTTGATCAAGCTGTGTAAAATTCTCTCTCTCTCTCTCTCTTTTAAGAAAAGTCAGGGGAATCAGATATTTCTTCAAAAAACTACAGGATATTGGAAACAGGCCAAATGGAAGGTTGTGATATGCTCACTTGCAAGGCTTTCAAAAGAATTGTTCAAAAGCCGAAATTGACACCCCAGGAAAAAAAAAGAAAGAGGAAAGTATAGAGACAGAAAAGTTTCTGTTGCTGTTATAAAGTACAACATAGGATCAGGTCTGCAATAACTTTTAATCATTCTTAACTGACAATAACAAAGGCAGCAATTAGAGTATTTGGCTAGAAGCCAGAAGAGAAACTGAGGCTTAGCTCAACCCACTTCACTATGGGTATTTGGGTAAAACAGGGGAGAAAGGAATACGGAGGAAGAGTGTGAATATGAAAATGGAGAAACACAAACTTTATACTGATCAGTTCTACGATCAATATTTATATTGAGCAGTTAAGGAACCTGCACAATACACTCGTTGCTTCTTGCATTGTACGCGACACAAAACAAGAAATGGAAAATAATCTTTCTCTGTTCCTTAAGGAAATAAACAGTTATCCAGACCCAATGTTTGAAATTGCAGGGGAATAGAAGCGAGACAGACAATACATATTAGGAGGGATTTTTCAGAACTACCAATTGGTGGAAGAGGTTGCCTCCTGAGTTACAGGTTTATCTTCACCGGGGGTCTTCAAAGTAAGCCATCTGTCCAAGATGCTTTCAGAGATCTTGCTCAGATAGAATGATTAAGATCCAGTCTACTGAATCAAGGAATGTTTTGTAACATAAATCAGAGGTCTCCAAACTTGTGGACTTCAATTGCCAGAATTCCCTAGCTAGCGGAAGAATTCTGGGAGTTGAAGTCCACAAGACTTAAAATTGCCAAGTATGGAGACCCCTGACATAAATCATAGCCTGATTAGTGTAAAATGAACAGGATAGGTAACATTATCATCAGTTTGCTGATAATATCCATATATACATCTCCAGTCCTTGTTGGTCAGGAGATGTTTGCTGACTGAGTACTTGGCAGTTGGTGTCTGGCTTTGGCTCAACCCTGGCAAGAAGGAGAATCTTCTTGCTCCGTTCCCTGCCCCAGAAGATATGTCATCTTGACACTGGACTGGGGGGCACTTTCAAGCTAGAATGCAATGTGAGGGCTCTTCCTTGGCTCACAAACTCTGCTCAAAGAGCAGGTAGCAGCCATGACTGTCTCTCTCTCTCTGTGTGTGTGTGTCTTTGTACAATTTTTTGTGTGTGTCAATTGCACCCTTTCCTAGACCAGGGGGCCTTGCTCGTGGTCACTCATGCCTTGATCACTTCCTGCTTGCGTTACTGCTTGACATGGGGTTGCCCTCAAAGAATGCCTGGAGGTGACCACTGGCCCAGAATGTGGAGAGGTACACAACAGCATCAAGATCATGAGAAGTGATAGTATGCTTTTACACTGCACTGATAAAACCGCACTTGGAACACTGCATCCAATTCTGGTCATCACAATACAAAAAAGATGCGGAGATCCTAGAAATTGCGTGCAGAGAATAGCAACAAAGATGATAAGGAATCTGAAGGCTAAACCACACAATAAACTGTTGAGGGAACTAAGTAGGCCTAGCCTAATGAAGAGAAGGTTTAGGGGTGATGTGGTAACTGTCCTCCAGTACTTAAGGAGGCTGTCACAAAGAAGATCAGGTCAACTTTTTCACCAAAGCACCAGAGTGGCAGGACAAGAACCAATGACTGGAAGATCATTAAAAAAGAGACTCCATGAACTCCATCAAACTTTTCATACCTTACCATGGCATCCAGTTGTTCAAAATGAGCTCTAGAATGTAGGTTGTTAAATATTTTTTCTAACTGGGAGGCTGATTTGAGTTGAGGCAGCCACTTCAAAGACTTGACCCGTTTAAATGCTGCAATATCACCTTGAGCAGCCATATCAATAACTCTTTGGTTGAAAGCTTCCTTAGCTTTTAGATCTGACTGGACTGGAAATTGGATGGAGAATTCATATGTAGAGATGACATTTGAAAGTCGGGTGGCCCAAACCCAAGGTTCATTTGTTAATTCATAGATCATGATCAAAATGATTAGGTTAAACTAAATAAAAACGAGGTTTGTCTTGGATAGGCCCAGTTTTTCTACCTCTGTTTAGACGGTTTACCGGCCATCCTCAACTTAGGACCACAACCAAGCCCAAAATTTCTGTTGCTGAGACGGTCGTTAAGTGAGTTTTGCCCCATTTTACAACCTTTCCTGCCACAGTTGTTAAGTGAATCACCACAGTTCTTAAATTAGTAACCCGGTTGTTAAGTGGATCTGGCTTCCCCATTGATTTTGCTTGTCAGAAGGTTGCAAAAGAGGACCCTGGGACACTGCAAATGGTCGTAAGTATGAACCCATTGCCGAGCATCTGAATTTGATCCTGGGGATGCTGCAACAGTAGAAAGTTTGAAAAATAGCCATAAGTCACTTTTTGCAGTGCTGTTGTAACTTTGAATGGTCACTAAATGAACCGTTGTAAGTCAAGGATTACTTGTATGTAGGTGACCTGGATAAGGTTACATAATCCTCCCTTAGCCAGATCAGGAGATGGAAGCTAAAAAAAACCCCAACTGATATTTCTAGTTCTTACCGTTTGTGTAAGGGTTAATCGTCTTCTTATTCGTCATGACCCGTGCCGTTGCATTATTTACCTAAGCACATAGAAAACAAGAAATCAGCACCATTTCCTTGAGATGAAAAGGTCCACGATGATAGTAATGAATGCATGCTTTATTTTTGGCATTAGTCATGTTTAAATGCAATTTAATTTATTTCCCCCAAATTAAATAATAATAATAATAATAAAACTAATAAAAGGCAGGAGGCGCATAACAAAATCATACTATTTATAATTACATTTACTCTCATCACCATTTTATAAAATGTACAAATCATTTCAATAAAGTAACACCATTTCCTTTAAAGTTTAATAAAGCGACATTAAAAGCAAATTAAAAGGCTTTGCATAATTGAAGATTTAAGAGCATGCTTTTTTTTTAATTCCATGGTAACACTGAAACGATAAAATATTTAAAAACAGAAACATTAAAAAAAAAAGAAACTGTATGAAAGAGCATGCAATGGAGTAGAAAGGGGAAAGAGACAAAGTACGCAGGGGAAAAAAATAAGTAACATCAAAAAGGAGAACGAAAAAGTAAAAAAAATAAAATAAGAAGGACAAATCTTAGCATTGTGCAACATAACCCTTTCGAAATGTACCATTGGAAAAGCAACATGTAGCATTCAACACCGGGGGTGGGGGGGGGACACATGAGCCTCGTTTATTCATTGCAAGAAAAACTAACAAAACCATTCAAGCTTTCAAAAAACCACAGCTAACGAAAGGATAAAAGAGGGTGCATTATTTAACACAATATGGAATTCACAATCTGAGTAAGATGTGCACAAAAAAAGTCATATCCTTAAGTTCAGACAGTGTCTCCAAGGCTCGCTTAAAACGGACACTCAAATTGACAGGCGTACCGAGATATAGAGATATAGATATAGAATAATAAGAATAATAATAATAAGAAGAAGAATAAAAAAAAAATAGAGCATCAAGAAAACTTAAGACGACAAGTCAAAAAAATTCATGTGGCGCTTTAGAAAAGAGACGTGAAACGGCAGATGGACTTGTCCACTTACCAATCAGCACCATCGCCAGCATGGGGCATGTATACAGTTACCATGGTTACTGAGATGGTGAGAGCCCTAACAGCTACCGAAAGGGGAGAATGGAAAGGCAAAATATGCAACATCTTACTCAAAAGACGACAGCAATTTTCAATTGGTTTTTTTTTTCTTTCTTTTTTCGCTTTTAAGATTCTAACAAATACAACTCAGGCAGTGTTGAAGTGGATCCAGTGGTTTAAGGGTATATAGATATATATTTATCTCTTTCTATGCAACGAGATGATTGCTTTTGGGAGTGAAAATTAGAAGGACCTTTAAACCTGAGAACCTTGGTTGAGCACTTTTGTCCAAAATGGAAACAAAGGTCCACTTTTGTTTGTTGAATCTAAGTGAACGGCTTATTCAAATGTTTTTTTTTTTTTTTTTTTTCCCCTGGGATAGCCAAAAGATAATTTGGAAAGCCACTGTAAATCCTGCATCAAACCTGCAATGAAAAGAAAAGGAAGGAAAACAAAAGAAATAGAATTCCCAAATAAAGGTTTTAAAAAAAAATGTTCGACACACACACACACAAATAAAATAATGCCTTATTGTTTTGCTTCAACACTTAATTTTGAAAGTTTTTCCAATTTTTTTTTTTTTATTATTATTGCACCCATCAACTTACAAAACCTTTCATATCATAGCACGGTATTAAAGCTCATCACATGTCTGGCATACATTTTTGTAGCTGTAATTATGATGGTTAAAAAAACTGAAAATAATAATAATAATAATAATAATAATAATAATAATAATAATAATAATAATAATAAAAAGATACGGAAAGGAAATAATAAAATAACAAAACCAAGTTAGGCCAGGTATACATACATATATATATATATATATATATACACATATATAGATACATATATGTACCTACCTACATATAATATATACATATATATATACATATATATATATATATATATATATATATATATATATATATATATATAAATTGTATATTATACAATATTGTATCATATTATATAATATAGCGTAATCATATCTATATATAACATATTCCATATATATATGTGTGTGTGTGTATATATATATATATATATATTTATATAAAATATCTCAATGGGAAGGAAAAGGGAAACACAGAAGAGACATTAATGATGCATCTGAAACAACGAATGAGAGTGAGGCAAACATTTATAAAAAAGATGAAAAGGAATATTTTGAACATGCACCTCAATTTTACGGCCCTCTACCACGGTGCTGTGTAATTTCTCCCTTGCCCTTTCCGCATCAGCACTATTTTCGAAAGTAACGAAACCAAATCCCTGCATGCAGGTGGGAAAAGGGAAAATAACATGCATATCATTATTTCAGACAACGACCACTTCTTTGCTTATGTTTCTTTCTTTCTTTCTTTCTTTCTTTCTTTCTTTCTTTCTTTCTTTCTTTCTTTCTTTTTCTTTCTCTCTGCCTCCCTTTCTTTCTCTCCTCTCTCACTCCCTCTTTAATTTAATTGGCTCTCGTCCTTTCTTCATTTCTGTAAACATGCAAATTAGAAAGAAATTATAATCATACCAAGAGATGTGCAATTAAGAAAGCAACCAATGTAAACAACTTTTTATCTTTCTTTCTTTTTTTTTTCACGAGTTAGTTTATCGTCTCCTGAAGAATATCAAAGAATGAACACCAAATACCTTGCATTTTTTTTCTCTAAATTGTCATTACAGGGGAAAAGAAATCTAATAAAAAAAAGAAAAACAAAACAAGTTCAAATCAATGGAACCATGTCATCACATTGAAAACAAAAGTAAGAAGAAAATGGTAAGAAAAGAAAGTGGAATCACTTTTTTAAGGGCATGCAGATCTGGTCAACAGAATAATAAACTGTGCAAATTAAAATGTGGGTACCAAATTCAACACTCAATGCAAACCCAATTGAATATATTGGCTAGTTTGATGTGTCATTGTGGAGCAAAATAATAATAATAGAATAAGAATTTCTCACATGCAACACTGGAGTTGTTTATAATTGTGATGTCATCTACCGTATTTACTTCTTTTGTTCTTAAAAAAAAAAGAAAATGAGAGGGGAGGGGGAAACAAAGAAGAAGGAAACAAACAAACAAACAAACAAACCAAAAGCTACCAACAAAATAGAATTGGGTTTGAAACTAAACATAACCTTTCTATATTTAATATAATTATGTAGTATGAATAAATAGATAACACAGATCAGAATGCAAGTAATCATTCCTGAACGATATCTGTAGTACTTTTCAGTCAATAATAGTAGACATTTATCACAAGGTTGATTGAAACACAGTTGGTGTTCCATATGCAGTGAAATGTTGGAACCAACCTTGTTTGTCCATCTCCTGAAATAAATTGAGAGCTTTCTGTCAATCAGGAAGAGGGTTGGGTTTTATTTTATTCAGCCAATGAACACATTCAGAATTTCGAGAACATTCTGACCAAATGGCTACCATGAGATGCTGGCACATTTACAGATGGCTGCTATAGTAGACCTAAGTCTCAAAAACAAAGCTAAACGTGTGGTCTATTTATAATTACATGGTTTTCTTTCGGGTTTTTGTTGTCGTTGCAGCTGTTCCTGAACAGGTGGACACCTTCAAACAAAGCATTGTGTGGAAGCCACCAACTACTTACAACAGATTTTCTAAGAATATAATGAGTCCTCTCTGGAATATATTACTTTTATCCCAAAAAAAAGAACCAAGAAGCGTATGATTTGCAATAGGTTAGCTTCCCATTTAGGTTTACATATATATATATATATATATATATATATATATATATATATATATATATATATATATATATGTAGGTCTTTGGTTGTTAGGGTTTTCTCCCGCGTAAAATTGGAAGTGTCTTGGCGACTTTTCCACAAAGTCCCATTCGTCATCTTCAGGCTGGTGTTTCAGCTTCGTGCTTCGAGCAGCATGTGTGGTCTTAGCTGCTCGAGCATGAAACTGAAAACACCGCCTGAAGATGACGAACGTGGGATTTCGTTGAAACGTCGGCCAAACACTTCCGAATTTAAGCGCGTGAGAAAACCCCAAACAACCAAGACCACATACAAACACCCAGCAAACTCAGAAACATATATATATTTATTATAATATATATATATAGATATATCTCTAATATCTATAATTATATATGTGTGGGTGTGTGTATCTCTTAAATATCTATCTATCTAATAATATCTTTGATATATATATATATATATATATATATATATATATATATATTAAAAAATAGAGGTGGGCACCAAAATGGATTCAAAAGTCTCGGCCCAACTTGTGGGTGGAGAAATTGGATAGAGGATATCTCCACATTGCTACGGGATAAGGAAAACTCTAATATCTTGAAGAAGTTCTCCAAGATCGCAGCCCTGAATGTATTATCTGTGTTAGTAAGGAACCCTCAGAAAACTGAAAAACCAAGTTCGGAAAACTCCCCCACTACATTCCTGAGCTACACAAATTTCTATCTTTGCAAGAAGAAGATTCCCTCCGTAACTTCTCAAAGCAAGATTTCTTTCTAGCAATGGAATTCTGATTTTCTGATCGATCTGAAATGTGGGAAGCTGCAGACCGCTGAAGACTTGGTTACATAATCTAAGATGAGACATGCACACATCTTCTTGGTTGCTAAATAAATGTAAAAACATCCCATTCAGCCAACAACAATTTCTTGGAAAGAATGTCATCAGATGGGAACTGGTGCTTTTCTGAATTTGTGGGAGGGTGTGTGTGTGTGTTTCTGCCCAAATAGATGAATATAGAGAAATGGAGTAAAGGATCCTGCTGAATTGACTCTATTTCTGTGGTTAACTCATGGTTTATGTTGGCTCTCCATTACGGAGATATTGGCATTTTGCACTTGGTTCACACCTTGGTTTATAAGATGTAAGAAAGCCCAAGGTCGCCTTCATCAATTCACTGCATATCAGAACTGCTAATTATTTATTATTAGAATTTGCTTACAGTATTATGCTTGGGGTGAATAGAAAACATTTGCAGGCTGCCCATAATGGAAATGAAAGAGGCCATCTCTAAATTTATTGGTCAATGTATTTCCACCAAATTCTTACCATGAAATGCAATCCAATACAAGTAAGCATAAGTGGTGATAAACATTGATCTACATTGATGCTAGGAACAGCAACTGGAAGATTTTGTCTCAGCAACAGTACATATTAGATCTCTTATTTATTTCAAAGGAGGCAGCAGGATTGTGGGCTGACTTTCCACTGAAGTGTAACACTCACTTCTTGACTCTCCTCAAGGAGGTGACTATCACTAGAACAACAGGATAATCTTGAGATTATTTCAGGAGAAGAATATATTCAACAGAAGATCCTTCTTCAAGTGAGAACATCTTCATCTGATCCACTGAGAGTTAAAATGCGTTCCAACACAAATTTCTGCTGTAGCAAATAGATACATACACAGACACACACACACACACGCAAACAAATTCATTTGCTAGAGCAGAACATTATCTATCTATCTATCTATCTATCTATCTATCTATCTATCTATCTATCTATCTATCTATCTATCTCAGGGGTGCCAAACTGCTGGTCCGAGGACCAGATGCATCACGCCAAAATTGTGCCCGCCCCATTGCTGGCAATGGGAAAAAAGTCACAATACATCGTGACACATCATGTGATGTCATGAGTTTGACACCCGTGATCTAGCTATCTAGCTATCTCTATCATCTACCTAACATTTATGTATCATCTAGCTATCCATCTATCCATCCTCTCTCTCTCTCTCTCTTTCTCTCTCCCCTCTTATCAAGAAATTCAATTTCTTGATGACTGAGTATCCTCTACATGTAAGAGACACAGGAGCAATAATGGTTTTAGCTCCTGTTTGTGGGCTTCCTAGAAGCTGAGTAACCATGTGAAACAGAATATGGGGCTATTATCACCTGCCCATTTTTGAAGGGATAAGAATGATGTGTACTTATTTTTGAAAAATAAATGGCTATTTGAAAAGTGGAAGTAGTTATGGAACCCATTGTATTGTGCTGTTGATCTAAGAAGAAGTCAAATAACTGTCATGATCAAGATGGGATTTTTCACCTCTTTCTCTCTAAGCTTACTAGGCTGGATGGGGTAAACTATGACAAAACTATGGGGAGGGCTCAAAGTTAGAGTCTAATCCTTGAGAAACTGTTCTTGTTTAAGATGAGATGAAATGAAAGTTTCCAGAAGACAAGTTGAGGGGTGGGTGACTGTTGTACTTTTGATGAGAGGACAAAAGAGGGATAACAGTCTGATAATAGCATGGAAGAAAAAAAAGAAAATAGACTTTGCCTATGTGCTATTATGGAGGACATGATATATTACGAGAAATAGAGTCCTCAAAAAATATAAAACAGTGAAAGGTTTTCCTATATAAGTTATATTTCAATAGCTTATCAGTTTTTTTGTGATGGTTTTTTTTGATCACTAAATTGCTAAAATGATGGAGAAGAACTCCAATTTTTTTCATCAGTCTGGGCATATCTTTTTGAGTGGGATCTTCCTTCTGGAAGAGAACCAATTCACTTTGATAAGGAGACCCTGTTGGTTGGGGCGTTTTCCATGTTTTCCACTAACTACTGTCAGTGCACAGTAGTGAGATGGTGCAGCTGAATCAGATAACTGATTCAGCTGCACCATCTAACTACTGTGCACTGACAGGATGAATGGATAAATTGCATAAATTTGCTTTGTTTTTTCTTATTAGTTTTGGGAGTGATGGTGAGAGAAACCACCATCCCAAAGATTGGTATGGAACACAAGTGGGGTACAGTTCAGGTGGGATGGGATTGTGAGATGGGATGGGGAGATGGGATTCTCCTTCTTGATCATCTGCTGAGTTCGTTCATACTCAGCCACCACACTTGATAAAAATGATTTTTCCCCATGATACTCCCTTGGAATGAACTGATATTCTCCAGAGACCCTTGAATAAATTTGACTACATTTTAAGACTTCGGGGGAATATTAAAAAGATGAAGAGCAGGGAAAGATTTACACAGCTCTAATTATTCTCTTCTGAAAACATTTTTTTTGAAAACTCCCTATAATGTTTCCCACCTGATTTTACAGAGAGCAAAGATTGTGCGGCGGGTGGGGGTGGGGAGGTACAGAGTCAGAATTTTTATTTGATCTGGCAGTTTTGCCTTAATTCCCTAATTGTCATATCCGATTTGCACCTAAACTTAAGTTGAGTGACATTTTACCTCAGGGAAAGACATTTTGACTTTCTCTATGGAGATTCTCAATCATCCAGGTCATAGT